AAAGGTCTTGTCAAAAGAAATATAATTGTTAATATAAAAGATATCTTCAACCAATCAAAAGTGCCGATAGGTAAGATTTAAGTTTTTTGTGGAATAATAGACGAACAGATTTACAGACAGACAGATGGACGGACAGGTCAAAAACTATTCCTCAGAATCTTCTATTCGGGGCAATAATATAGAAAATCATCTTGCTTAAAATTTCTATGGATATAAAACTACTAACCATCTTCGTCAACTTCCGCTATCATTTGTCGCAGTTCCTCCTCTGAAGGTTCTTGACCTAATTGTCTCATTACCGTCCCAAGTTCCTCGCAGTTCACCGTGCCATCTCCATCCCTATCGAAAAGGAGAAAGGTTTCCCGAAGTTCTGTAAAAATATAGAATGTTAATTTACCCGTTTTACTAGACTTGTCTCCACTTTCACAACGAAAAGAATTTTACATGTTAATCATCGTCTCCAGAATTTCCTAATCCTTTTTAACTGTTTTTGCATTAACTGCAAGATTAGAAGACTGCGTGAGTTTTTATCGAACAGAATAGTGTTGCATTACCACTTACCTGCAATTTGTTCAGGTGAAAGAGAGTCCTGAAAAACAAATAACATTTTAAATGATAAAAATGCATTAATTTGAGCAATTAGAAGGGAAATTTTATACCTTAACTTTCTTTTTCATTCGACTTTGAGCCCTGTACGTCATGTTTAACTTCAGGACAACACGTAAAAATAAACCTTAATAAAAATCATGGACAATAGGCTTATATCCCATCAGTTTATCGCTTTCATTGAATGTGAACTTTCGATCCTAAAGTTTAATATCTTTTGTCAAAACACATAGTTCTATGGGTGTCATCTTTATTCTTTTGAAATTGCGACATGTATTAATGTAAAAAAAAAAATGTAAATACGTTGTAGAATCTAATAGCGATTAAGAGTTATAAAAGTTCTTATCAAAATATTTATACAGATTTTATATGCATAAAATTACTTACCATGCTAGGAATATCGGGGACAAATCTTTTTATGTTCTCTCATTTCACGACAGTGGCCAAGAATTGTTTTCCTCTATCGATTTAATGTCAATAAAAAAACCAAACGTCGCTAAAATATTTCACAGTCCAACAGGTTCACTAAAGTGAGGTTGTTATTTTAGCATTATCTTACAGGATTTAAATAACTCATGGAGATTTTTTTATTTCACTAACGGCACTCTGGCGATATATGATAGACAACTTGTCGCTCCGACCATATCGTCTTACCATAAGTTTTCAATGTACACTAAGAGGTCTCCAAACCCGGACTAGCATAATTAAATAAAACAGTTTATTTAATCGTTGCAATTAACAGATCGTCCTCTTAAGTGGTGAATATGTACAGGTGCATTTAAATTTGATTCAAATAAGGGAAAGCTCTTTGGCTAAGAGTTATAACATAATCTTGATTCAAGGAGTGTATCAAAAATTTTCTATGAAACAAAAGACATTAAGTTACATTTTCGCTTCTATATGTACGTAAGTTCTATGGTTAATACAATGACTTTGTCAGCAAATACAATTTATTATTAAGTCAAATGCTGACTGACGTTATTCATACTTATAGTTCAGCAGTATTATATATACACTGAATTTTCGACGGATTTTTACGCTATTTCCCGATCATTACAAGGAACACACGGTGTGGGTGACATGTCGGCATGAACTGCTCACTCCTCCATGGCACCTGATTCCACCTCTGATTTCTTTGGATGACCGTATTTGCTCTGCTCCAATTTTGTATAGTTTAAATGGACTTTTAAACTTGAATACATTTCGCTATCTCCCTATATTTCACCCTTCACTTGCACAATGTTGTAAAAATGAAAACAAGCCATTCATCTATAACTATTTATTCAAATCAATGTCCAAATTATTATTTTGACGTTATATGCTTCACAAAATCTGAAAGATAAAAAAAAAATATCAAGACAAAATTTGTTATGGAAAGTTTGAGTTACGTCTCTTTGGTCGTTTAAATACACAAAATACAAGCTAATTCAGAGAATTCGTGTCCCCCGCTTAGGGAAAAAGTCGGATCCCCCTGACTGAATTTGTAGAATTATTAAATGTATACATATATACTGAAGCAAATAAAATACATGTATGTCAATATGCATATAAAGATTTGATTGCTTATTCTTTATTATGTGACTGTATAGAAGATTCTTTTTATATGGAATATTTATCACATAGTAATGGTGATTTTATAACCTCATAAATTTCTCATTTTACATGATGAATACTATCATTTAGTAATAAAAAAAGAAAAGTATTTTTTTTTTGAAAAAAAAAGATCGTGCGAGATTCGATCCCGTGCCTTCTCACATGTGAAGCGAGAGACATACCACTAGACCATTGAATCGCCTTGCATGGTACTAAGTACAATGTATATGTAGAACTGAAGTCACATACATGTATATATTCATGTTCGGTATTCTCAAAATTTTACGCAATCCATGGTGTTTGATTTATTTAGCCTTTATTAAACAGTTCTAATAGATGTAATAAGAACATAAAGTCCGCCGAGAACCTGTTTTATACGCAATAACTCTCCTCATGCCCCTGTGCTAAAAATAGCGACATGTAATACTATACATACTAATAAAACAAACGGGGCGGGGCACTTTGAGAGGGGTGAGAGAGGCCCTAGGGAGTTTTGGTAATATAAAATTACATTGCATAAGCTCAAAATCTTCTTGAAATATCGCCCGGAAATGATAGTGTTACACACAGGCAGAATGTATAAATTTACGACCTTGAACTTTGACCTTTTGACATCAAAATCAATAGGGGTCTTCATTAGGCCACAGGGAGTTGTTATGTAAAATTTCATTGCAATAGCTCAAATGGTTCTAGAGATATCGTGTGGAAACGAAAGTGTTATAACAGACAGAATTTGATTCTTTATGACCTTGACCTTTGACCTCAAAATCAATAGGGTTCTTTTTTAGTCTATAGAGAGTTGCTATGCTAAATTTCATGGCAAAAGCTCAAAGGGTTCTCGAGATATCGTGTGGAAATCAAAGCGTTACAGACAGACAGAAAGACGGACGGACGGACGGACGGACAAACCCAAATTAATATCCCCCACTTTTCAAGCGGGGGACAAAAAGGAGAATTGCTTGAACCAAAAATATACATATTTATTCATTAAGAAGACACCACTTCTTGCAATTTTTTGTAAACGTAAACAAAAAGAAAAATAATAATAAGCCCGTTTCAAACCAATTTTTGTTGTTGAAAGAAACCAATTTTTTGTAATCTCTTTAGCAGTACATGTATAAGGAATATGCTTTGTTCCCTCTTTATTAATAATAACGGTCGCAGTATCACTTCTCAGACATTTTTGTAAATTGTGTTCTTATTTGTAGACATTTTTATATTTCAAAGAAAAATATGTTTGTTTATTTTGTGCACTTTTGTTTATTTTGTGCACTTTTAGAGTTATTAAAGGAACAAAATGGCCGAAAATTGTTCATATAGCTATAAAGTGTTTCTTGGGCAAATAAAGTTTATTTTCAAATCCATCTTATTGTCAACCATTTTGTCCAAGGAACTGCAACTGTCTTGCTGTCCGAGCATGGGTTTCAAGATTGTACAGAAAACTGACCATAACAATAAAATTCATGATTCATGATTTAATTCTGTGAGATTTACTTGTTTTTATTGAATGATTAATAATATTATGTTTTATATCTCATTCGAATTCTTTTCACTCGTGTAGAGACGTCACGTGCCGTATGCCGGTGAATTGCACTCAGGATCAGAGAGCAGTTAGAGTTCTTTATCATTCCAAAGACTACTTTGATACTGGACCTCAGGTTTTAAAAGCAAAAAAAGCAAACTTAACCGTTAAACTTGAAATTTCCCCATGTTTAAAACCATTTTAAAAGAATTTATTTTACCTTTTTTCTTATAAGAATTTGCTGCAAACATTGATCTTATTTTGTTTTACGGTTAACGTTTTCCTCCGCCCTGAGAAATCATATCATTATGCATGTACATTGCGAAAGAATATATGCGTATAGATTTTTTAGTCTTTATAGATAACTGCTCTTATTAACTTTTGCAAAAATGATTTCCCATTTTCTTAGTGATCAATTAATTTAACGTTTGAGGTATTGCAGAAGGAGAATGCCACTGATGAAAGAACAGTGTTAAAGAGGAAATAATTCCTGCCACAATGATACCTTTATATCGAATATATCCATTGCCCCCCAATCCAGTGTCCACGATCATTTCATCCACGTCCTCGTCCGTAAGTCTTTCTCCCAGCGTTGTCATGACGCTTCGAAACTCTGCCACTGAAATATATCCTGTTCTGTTTTCGTCAAACACTTGAAAGGCCTCAATTAATTCGTCAGGAGAATCTGTACACTGCATTTGTTTGGCCATCATTTGTAGAAATTCGTCAAATTCAACGTCACCGTTTCCTAATTAAAAATATATAAATTGTAGCAGTTTGCAAACAATGCCTTTCATTAAAATAAATCATGGGCTATAGTTTTTTAAACATACTTAAATATGTCTGTAACTATGATATAATTAAGTACCGTTTCAATAAAATATTGTAGAACATAATCATACTTTCAAGATAAAATAGATAAATACTTCCTTTACATTCTTTAAGGGTTGTGAATAAAGCAATAAATTCAAATCTAAAACTGGTCAATTTAATACAAAATGGTTAAATGTTGAAACAAAGGAAAAATTACAAAGGACTATATTCCAATATGAACAGTATTGCCCCTTAAATTTTTGATGGAGAAATCTATGAATATGTTCTAAACTTGAAGAATATCTGCCGACTCAATATTTTCATCAACTATGGCGTCTTATTTTACATATGAGGCCATGGAGATAGAGATTCAAGATGTTTGATAACTTGAGAGAAAAAAAAATTCAAAGTCATCTAGTGCAAACTGCAACAACTCTTGTCTTTTGTTATGTTCTAAATTCACCAGTTCAAACGAACATAAATTATTTATAAATAAAACTCAAAAACACTTTATATAGGATGAGCTCGCATGCGCGAGTGCAACAGACTTTAATGAAGTGTATACAGTATACAAAGCACAGTCTTTAGTTTAACTTCTGAAATCCAAATCATTCTACAAAAGAAAAAGAAACAAATAAAGCGACAGTCAACATTAAAACTAACATTTTAACGTGTACAGTATATCGATCATACTGGAAGGGGTGGGTGGGGTGGGGGATAAGTCTGTTGCAATGTAGCAGCGAACTTCGAATAACTTAAAACACCCGAAAATCTACCTTATACGTGTCTGAATCATGCGTAGCACGGATTCAACCTATTCACCCGTAAACAAATAAACAACCAATCGATCTCCTTTATCGATGGACTTAATCTGCATACAAAACAAACACACGTGTTTTACCATAACTTTTATAAATATATAAATAATGTGTATTTTAATACACATTGAATATTGTTCCTTGGTAATATATGCTCAGTAATTCTTTACTAAATATTGAACGAAATCTTTTCAATTTGACCCCTTTCTTGTAAAAAAAAAAAGAAACAGCATAATCAAATAGTTTATCACGTCATAAACACAAGTAGAATAATTAGTAAGAATCTTAATCCAAACTACAAATTTATCGAGAGATTTTCAAAATATGGCTTTTATTGGGCAAAAAAAAGTTTATAACGTACTTTACAGGTCTAAAATAAAAAAAGGTTCTATTCATGATCCAAGCATTTTATTATCATTTTTCTTATTTTACCGTCAACATCCACTTCAGCAATCATGTCCATAAGCTCCTTTTCCGTGGGGTCCTGACCCATTGACCTCATCACTGCCCCCAGTTCCTCCGTACTAACCGTCCCATCCCCGTCCTTGTCAAACACCAAGAAAGCCTCTTTAATGTCTGAGTCAAAGAGAACAACAAATACGAAAATATAAAATAATCAGATGGATCTTGTAAGCACGTGGATATTTAAGGAATCACTGTCTAGTCCGTTATGAATGCAAATTATCCCGCGTGTCCAACTATCTTTGATGCCCTGGCATACTCTACAACTAGACACCGATTCCTTATATTTCCATTTCATTGTAAAAGAAAACTATAACTTAAGATTTTAAAAATGTATACTAATAGATATAAATTACATGAGGCCTCCCATGTTAAATTCAATAGTCCCAGCCCACTGACGTCAAAAAACAAAGACAGTCTCACAAGATTTTCATACGTTTTAGGCTTCCTCATCGTTAACACAAAGGTACACTAGACGCACGAATTTACATATACATGCATATTAGACCTTTTTAGTCCCTGACCTATCGCTTAGCGAAATTTACATTCCGGTAGAATGA